TCAGTAAGAAATGAATGCCAGCAATTATATGACTGGCTAATAAATATAATTTCATGGTATTCTGTAAGATATCCCAAAGTGTTAATTGTAACAGGAGCAGTTAAATTCTTTAGACCAGTTAAATTCTTTGGCTATGAAAGCATAACAGTTTCTAATCACCTGGTAACTTTGGGCACTATTAAATATATGGAGATTGAAAGACATGGTAGAAGCAATGGAAAAGTCTGGCCAGACTGAGTAATTTGTTTTAGACCTATGGAGAAATCTATTAACCATTTCTTCTATAGACCAATTTGATTAGGAAGTAGGACAAGCTGTTCTTTCATTACTTACCAAAACCGTACTGCACTTTGTATCAATTATTTGGCTGTCTGCAGCACATAGATTAGAATAAAGGGCTTTCTTAGTGTTTGTGAATGTTGCGGATTGCTGATTAGTAATTAAAGTACTGAATGAAGAAAATTAGGCCAAAATTGAATGGGAATGAGAAAGTCTTAATTCTGCGATACAGATGTTAGAAACAGATTGTCTTGAGCAGCCCATTCAACATAGTGACATTCTACACGGCCATGGAGTGTTTGCCTCCCATGTAAAACTCAAGTCAAATGCCTTAGAGATGGTTTCCTCTCCCATGCCTTGTGATGTAGCTGTATGGGTATTAATTTAGTGAAATATCCTGTCTGCCAGGTGTGGGAACTAGCTGATTTTATTGTAATACCAGATCATTACTTAATTCATATGCAACAGAGTGCAGCACATGGAAAGCATTATAAATCTATTTACAATGCGGCTGGTCTGATGATAACATTGTATTAAATTCCCAGGTGAGGCAATTTAAGCAATTGCTTTGCCATGTGCACGCTGTGGAAATTAAATTCTCATATATGCTTTAGTAATAAACTAACTGCATTGTTATGCTTATGTGAGTGGTGGATTGTAGAATCCTCATTCTGGCTATGTGTACCCTATCTCACATGTAGAATCATATAGAAGGCTGCATCACAGATCACAGTTCTTAATTAGTTTCAGCTAGGTTAATTCGTTTTGTTTCTAGTCTAGCAGTGCCTATCCAGAAACATATTCAGTTCAGTTGGGAAATACTAAGGCTTGGGTCAAGTAGACAGATTGTTTCAAGCCAAATTTCCAGACAGAACTGGGCAAGTGTATCTGTTTGAACTTGGCTTTAAGAAAATCAGCCAATCAGTGTGCAAAATCAGCCAATCAGTATCCATATACTAAGTGAAAACTGCTTGGAATCTGAAATCCTCACTTTCATAATGAAGAACTCACTTCTGTCATCAGTTTAAAATAGCCCTTGAAACTTTGTGTGCCTAATTTTTTAGGGATAACAGTCAATTGTTAACTTGCTGTATATTTTCTAGAGCTCATATACAGTCTGTAGATTTTTCTGCCCAACTAATGTCTAGTCTACCTAAGTTTAGTATAAGTTAGAAGGAATAAGCTCTACAAAAACACACAACTAAAAGTGAGGAGTGCTGTTGTATTTAACTGTGAGCGTGTGTGTGCGCGCTCACGCGCGCGTGTGCACATGTGGGAGGGGGTGGTGGGCAAATATTGTCAGTCGAAGCTTTCCACCCTTATGGTACAGACCTGAAATTGCAATAGATTACAAACTGCATAGAGCTTCTGTCTTCTCCAGAAGCCACATATAAAGCACCAGTAGACAGTGGTAACTGACAACTAAGACTAAAAATGTTGACAATTTCTTGATTTGCCTGGTTAGCTTATGTATAGAAGTCATTAACTATTTATAAAATGCATTATGAATTGGGTTCCTTCAAACTGTAGCTGAGTGTGTGACATTTCCAGCTCAAATTCTCATGCTTGCATTTGGCTAAAATACAGATTTTATACAGTTGATAATAAAGTAAAAATATTTTAGTTACGTTATGAAGATACAGTTGATGTTTCAGTTTCATTAACTTCCAGTCAGCTGAATTAAAATATACATAATACTTAGTAATGGAGAGTGGAGTTATTAAAAATTCCACAAAAGGTAAAATTATTTATTAATGTTTTGGAGGGAAATTATCAATAAAATAAGCAGTTTGTCATTCAAAGGAATTTGCCTTTTTTTGGTATTCAGTCAGTTTAGTGATGATCTTGCAGTCTAAATTATGGCTGATTACAATCAGCTTACTTAAAATTTCAAAGCACAAAAAAAATTAAAAGAAAATACCAATGTCAGGCATTTAAATATAACTCTTAATAAAACAAAGTCTTGTTTTTTTTAATTGTAAAATGATACTCCAGTGTAAAGAGTTCAATTTTCTGCATCAATTGTGTCATTTTCAAGAGAAACTATTTCTGATATTTGAAATGAGTGTTTTTTTAATTCTTTAAGAGAAGTTAGTTTAATCAGAGAACATTTTATAAACTCAGCATATCATTTGCTTAATTACATCCAGAAAGCCATCCAAATGACCAGTTTTTACCATCCCAATAGTAAGGAGTGATATTTATAGAGACCACCCTTCAACTGTGGATAAATCCTTAGTTCTTCTCTGTTGCTGAGCATGTACACTCTTAATTGCTGGTTTTCAAAAGCAATGGATTCTCACCAAAACAAGATTAGATATTTAGGGATACATGTTTGTAATTTTCTTCTTCTTTTGAAGTATAGTAAATCAAAATAAGAATATAATGTAATTGAACAATCTATGCCAATTTGTTGGTATTTTGGTGAAAGGGGGAAAAACAAAAACAATCTCCATATGATATTCTTGCATACTGTGGAATGTTTTAGTCTCCCATAGTGATGAAATGAATAATTAAAAAGGCAGCTCTGATACCACAGCCTGTTTAAAGGTTCTCATTTCCTTTAATGCTGTAAAATACTTCTGCTTAGCTAGTTTGAGACTACTGTAGTGGGGATCTCCAAATGGGCAAAAGAAAGGTTTGGCTTGATCTAAATATTGTTGTAAGGCCATGAGGGATACTGACCTTGCAGTTTAGCATTTTTCAATACAAATTCTGTATGAAGTCTATAGAAATAATTAATAGTAGCTTCAGTAAATACAGTAAGAGAAGCAGGCTTAATATATGCTGTTTGTGGTGGTAAAAAGTCTGGCATGTTCACGACCGAATGAGTTGGTTCACTCTTGAATTGCTAGGACATGTGATATAGATGTCATTACTGACCCCAGGCTAATGACTTAACTTTGCTACTTTGTCCTCTGCAACACTGTTGGTTTTATTTATCTATTTGCTGCATTTGCTAAGGTACAAGAGATACAACTGCAGCAGAGAAGGGGGCTTGGGGTAGAGATTTAGGGCAGAGAAGGGATGCCATCATCTCCTTTGTACTGAAACATTTTGCAATGTTTGCATTTTTTTCCTGAGTGTATTCAGAGGTCAATAAAATGAGGAGGAAATTTTGCATGGTAGAATGAGAACAGGTTCTAGTTTCAGTTTAACCAAAGTGATCTGTAGAATTCCATGAGATTGGTTTGTTTTTCTGAAAAAATAAAGGGATGTCTAGATTTGTTTATTATTATTTACACTCCAGTCAGCCTTTTTTCAGCTAAATTCTACCAGAGTTAAACCCTAGTGCCCTTAGGCTTCTATTCTATGTAATGAACTAAATTCTCTCTTATGTGCCATCCTTGGGAGATTGAGAAAACAGTCACTGAAATAATTTTCTGTTTTGTGGTTCAGATAAGGAACCCCAGTTGAGAAAGCCCGCAACTTTAAAATAATTCAAAATATATGTGGTTTTCTTGTCAAAAGGCCTTTTAAATTTTAGTGTGATTTTTACATTTAAGATATTATGATCTCTATGTAGCAAAGCGGTGTTACTTACTAGTATAAAAATCTAATTAAAAATCTTGTTGACTTCTGCTCAAGAGTCCTTTTTAAACTACAATAATATTTCAGATCATAGTTGAACAAGTACGAAATTTTAAGGCCTAAACTATAGTCTGCAAGTGAGAAAAGATTACTATTTCCCAGCTGCCATTTTAAAATTGACTCTTTTTTGCTTAGTTCAGAAGCAGAAAAGGCAGTAAAGTAACCTGTAAATCTGCATTTGGATCTGAAAGGGTGATGCTGAAGGAGGATCTGAGGATGGCACTCTAGCTTCATAACTAATTTTCAGAGTCTTTAGCTTTTCCAAATCTGTGGACATTTAGATAAGTCATGAATTGCTTATAGACATGTCCCTCTGACTTAACAGGTCAAGGTCGATTTCTTATAAAACAAAATTTCACTGAGTGAAGTGTTGACTCATAGCCCACTTGTCTTTACTGGGATTGAGAAAGGTTGACTCAGCTCACTTGCCTTTATTTACTGGGATTGGGAAATTTAATTTGTTTTAACACACACACACACACACACACACACACACACACACACACATGCATTTCTTTTCCTTAGGCCATTATTTGAGGAGGGCTTAGGGACATTTAAGTTACTGTTTGGAAAGAGGATGGACTTTTAAGTTCCATCTCTTTCTGGCTAGTAACATTACAATAATGCAGGAAATACAGATGAACTGTTTTCCAGGCATTCCAGTTGGAGTCAATAATATTATCCTAGAATTAGAGATTTTAAAAGACCTATGTAATATAGTTCATTTCCTGCCACAATTTTAAAGACCTCAATATACACTTGTTTTAATTACAATCTGGTGAGTTTTGCCAATATACAGCTAGACAGCTATATCTCCTTCAGTTCAGTGGTCTTGTTTGAATGACTACGTATGGAATAATATACCAGTTCTGATCCACTTGTGAATATTAATGGAGTACTTACATAATGCAGATTTTTCTTTCATTACTGGCATTTGAAAAACTTCTAATTTACATCAAACTTCTCAAGTTCAAGAACTTTACACAACTTTGCTCGGCAGATCTTAGCAAATAGGTTTCCATTAGGGGGCTCTCGAGGTTTGAAATGATCAGCCTTGATACCAATAATGCTTCGAAGCCTTTACTTTCTAACGTTCATCTCGCTCTCTCCCTTTTTGTTTTGTTTTATAGAAAAGGTCACGGATCGCCTACAGTGACGAAGTACGGAATGAGCTCCTAGGGGATGATGGGAATTCCTCAGAGAACCAGGTAGAATGCTAATCAGGAAGGCCCGGTGGGTGGCTGGAGGGTGAAGGAGGTCACTGGCATACTGGGCTCTCAAGCTGCTCCTTAACAGTATTAGCAGCAACTCATGTGGAAGCGATACTGTTTAATGCAAAGCTGGAGTCTTAATCAACTTCAAAATGTTTCTTGGAGATCTTACATTTAACCCTTTACCTTGTGATCACTGTCTGCTATCTTTTAAAAAAATCTTTTCTTCTCTTTTCTTTATTATTTAGTACTTAAGGAATAACTTGAAACACACTGTTTGCAGACAAAGCCAAGGTCTTCACCTCAAACACATGTAAAAGGAATAAAACAGTACATAATGCAGCTTTGATAATAATGCAGTATAATTAAATCAACACTTGCAGCAAAACAAATGAAAGTAAGCTTTCAAAATTCAACAGGGCAGCTCGGTCTCCTATTGTGGGGCTTCTTAAAATACATTCACCAAAATGCAAATTGTGAGCACCAGCGTGGAACTTAGATACTCAGAGAGAGGTCCTGCCTCTGTCAAATAATAATAATAATAGGAAAAGTCTTTCTACAGTTTAAGATCTGCATAGGCCAAAAATAAGATACAATTTCTTCTTAAAAGGGCCTTACAACTTGGCTGTCAGTTCTCATTGGATCACACAGCAGTGTCATGAGTCTAATTAATGTCCCACTTCTTTCTTTGAATTAATACTGCAGACTTCGTTAATTCTTGTAGATAATATATATGACTTAAAAAAAAATGTTTTAAGAACCTCCGTGTAGAGATGACTTTTAAAATGTCTCAAACAACCCTAGTGACTTACTCTCTTTGACACTTTTAGAGAAAGTAAATGATGGGAACTTCAGAAGCAAGACCTGAACGTGTTTATTAATATTCCTCTGACAAGTATTGTAAAGGTCTCTACTCTGCCTAAATAAAAATGAGCATAAATCATTCATTGAGTAAACCAAAATTTTAATAAGACGGTAAAGCATATTGATACACATTATAAGACTTGTATAATTGTATTTAACATTTCAAATAGATTATATTATAAGTCTATATATGCTAAAACTTTATTACTATCTACTCTAAATATTGTAAATGGGATGTTGTTTATGTGATTAAGGCCCCCAGCCATCCACCCCCCCAATAAAGGATGGGGGGAGGAGAAGAATCACTCAGCTGATTATATTTGATTTTGGAAATATCTCACCTCATCCACCATTTGGATGTCATCAGCTTGAGTTTAGACATGTAAACATGTTAAGATTTGACTTGGGATTTCAGCTTTTCTGATTGAAATGTGAGAACAGCTAAGGGGAAGAAAAATAAGGAGCACATCAAACATAAAAGGGTGATGGGATAAAGAGTTTTACTCATAATAGGTTAAATAACACGAGAATGAGAGGAAAAATATTTTCTTCGTATTTTAAGTGTGATTTAGATTGTTCATATCTCTTGAATGAGTGAATCATAATTTTATTTCATATCTTTACTACAAAAAAAGTATTCTCTTTTTTGCAAAAAAAAGTGAATGCAGAGTTCCCATGTCAATTCTCTAGAAAGCTATAGATCTTTCCCTCATTTGAAACTACTGCTTAATATAGAGGAAATAGAAAGGAAGGGGTGTTCCTGTCTAACTCAGACTCCTTTATTCTAATAGATGTTGTAGTACTCTGACAGGGATCCTTTTTTTTTTTTTTTAAGGCATGTTCACTTCTCTTAATGGACATTTTATGTGCCTAAAACATTTGCCTCATGTACATATAAGTATGATTTTTTATGCCTAAAGAAAAATATTCCACAAAAATAGATAGAGTTCATATTTTCTGAATTTTTCAAATTATATTCCTGTCACTTTAAAGTGATTATGCAGAGATTTCCTCTGGACTTGTATAAATCAAACTTACAAATTCTGAATGTGCTTGGAGAACCTGAAGTTTAGTTGTAAGGAGCTGTCACTTCAATAAATAGAATATGATAAATTATAGTCATGAGGTAGTGTAACTGTTAGATTATTAGTTATGTGAACTTCTCAGTCCAAAATTTGAATTAGGTTTGAAAGTTCAAAGAGACCACACTTAACTTTTTGGATATCTTGTCGCCAACCATAACAAAATTTTTATTCCATAATGAAATCATTAAATTTTGTTTTGAGGCTTTTTATCATAATATAGGAATTAAAATCCCTCAAACTAAACCACATCCCTTAGCCAGGAATGGTCACTTGAGAATTACTCCTTATTCTGCATCAGTATTCAGTCAGACTATGGAATCAAAACAGAAGCCCTTTCTTTAAAGGTAGAAAAGATTTTAAGTTTGCTCTTTATGTATTAATTTTTGTAGCTCAGGGGCTGAGAAGATAGTTTTGTTTTTTGTTTTTTTGTTTTTTTCAGGGTAGGATTACCTATAATTTACATAAGAAAATATTTTCTGCCCACAATTAAGTTTATCTTCAAGTTAATTGTTGATAAATTTTTAGAACTTTATAGCTATGTAATATTTAAGATAAACTTTTAATAAAGAGAAAACTTGGAGATAAATAAAATGAAACCAAAATATATGTTTCACTGAAATTGGGATATATCTCAACTTAAAAATATATATATATCTATCAGAAAAGGGAAATAATAAAGAATTATATTGCAAATAGGTCAAATAAACTAACTGCTGACTAGTTATTTTTGATGCAACATACACATCCTCCTTATAGTGGCTTCTTTGTAGAGATTTAGGCAAATGTGAATGCCATAGCTATTATTTCTCATTCTGGTCATTTATAATGCTTTTTTTTTTTAGGCATCTAAAATCTGTTAGACACATAATCTGCCAATTAACTATAAAGTATATTAATTTACTCTTATATAAACATTTCTGACATGATTAGAAATGTCAAGATTTCAGCAATTAAGAATTTTTCAAGTGCATCTTTAACGTCCCTCATACAGTACGTAGTTTCATTTAATTCCAAATTAATTGCTTTGTATAAATTCATTTCTGATTCATATCCATTTCATACAATCAAATATAGCTCATCCCTCATTTACAAAGAAGGGACAAAATTACCTACATTGCACATTCGAGTATTGTTGGGTCATCAGCTTTCCAAGGACTATTGTCTTAGGCATTATCATTCTATTATTTTAAAATACCATGTTTTCCATTCCATATGGCAACATTGTAATTCCTTGAGAGAGTTGCGTTTTTGAAATGTAGCAGTGCTGTATTTGAGTGGAAACTTTAATAATTGTTACCTTGATTTAGTTTCATGAAAATCATTCTCAGGAAAGGAAAAAAAAAAAAATCTTACCGAATTAAATCCCCTAATCCCCTTCATATCGTGGAGTCTGATGATGGGGCGCATAAAATGTTCCAGACTCTTACGTTTGAACCCTACTAATGGTCTCTCAGTTTCCATACGCAAAATTACACTGATCGGTGAATAAATGTGAGTAAATGAAATTTTAGTAAATCCTAAATAGAAGGTTCAAATCCGTGTCTAAGGAGTAGGATATTCCTAAACGTGCCGAAAATCTTGTGGCGTAGCCACATTTAGCAGATACGATTGCTTAATTTTTTTTAATGCGAGGTTCTCTTAAGTTCCGATTTGGGCTTGCTGTGCATAAAGTGTGTCAAACTTCAGCCACAGACCAGGGGGTGAAGTCGGTCAATTTAATTCCCCAAGATCTAAAGAAGGTCGGTATCATTTCATATAGCCCTGGCAGAGCAGATCATTACCAGGCACAAATCTGTTCGTTACGTGCTGAGGGTTTATAGCAAAATAAATAGACTGTCATCATAAGTTCAGAAAATTGTGTGTTCGACCCACGATAATGTGTAAAGGGCGTTTAATAGAGTTCAGCATTTATTCGTTATCTGTATGCGGACAGAGGCGGCAGTGGCGTTATCAGCTTTTTTTTAAAAAAAAAAATCGGTAGTTCTGGGGGTCACGTGACACCCCTCACACACACAGGCGCGCGCATGAACCCTCACATGCGCTGCAGTGCAGTTTTGATTTTAGCCACAGCAGAAGGCTTAACCACAAGAGATTCCACTGGTTCAAACCAGCGTAAACCAGATTTTTTTTGAGCCCACAAAGGAACAGATTACCTCTTGTATCAAATTCTGCATTGGGGGAGAGGAAAAAAAAAAAAACAACAAAAAACCATCTTTGTTTCAAAGAAGATGTTGATTATCATAACTCAACATGGTGGCATGGCACATTTTCAAGTCGCCTATGATGGAGCTAGTAACTCAACAAAATACGAAATCACTACTTTCAGTCTAGTCTGAGCATTGTTAATTTTCAAAAATAGACCATCTTTTGTTTACTTGAATGAAAACTCCCAGCCTAACGAAAAAGAAAAAAAAAAAAAGATGAAGATTAAAACCCCTCCCATTACCTAGCTTAGCTACAAATCCGGTGTAGAGCTTGAATGCAGCCATGCAGCACAAACAAGATAGAACGTTTTTTGTTTGGAACCTATTGAAAAAACAAATGGGTAGCATTTTTAAACACTCATTGATTATGGCAGGGTGGCATGCCCCAAATGGTCTCAATTGCTGAGGAGTAGTTTTAAACTTTGGCCCTTTAAGTATCATAGTCAACTGAAGAATGGTGCCCCCAGAAAGAAAAGATAGCTGTGCGATCAATTCCCAGATCGTCTCTTTCTGAGAATTAATGTTTGCCTTTTTCTCCCATGATGTTCAGATAGCACAGAGAAAGATTCCTATATATGATAAGCCAGGTATTTTAGTTTAAAATTTTACTTATTCTTGGGAAGAATGGTAACTTTTCACATGAAACAGGATGTTTGACTCATAGACACTGGATAGTTGCTGAGAGAATGAGTATATTAATTAAAAATAATTACATCTTCCTGTACATTTTGAAAGGACAGTATTAAAAGTTTCATTTCCACTAAATGCATTGTGAGACATTATGTAATAGATTCTGTGCCCTTTCTCCAAAAGATTCATAACGATTTTGAAATCTCATTCTTTG